GGTGGACACGAGTCATGAATTACCAAAGGCTGTCAAAGTTGACGGCAGATTCACGAACCCGTGGTCCACATGGAGAATGCCCTCCATGTGGAAAGCCGTCAAATTCCTTATGGAAACCAATCACAGCGATATTCCCAAGGAAGAGGTGAGACATTCATTTATATTATAACTATTTATACCTATTATTTATTTATTGCAAACCTTACATTTGCTATAATTTGTATTCAAATTAATCAAATAATTATCCCGTATATAATGTTTAGATTTTGTATATATTTAGAATCAGATAATATTCGTTTAAATTATAAAATTCATATACAATTTATCAATATTTCTAATAATTTATATGAATTTACAAGTTATTCGTAAATTCTAATAGAAATTATAATAAATCATAGAAAATATTTTATAAAAATAGTGCAAATTAAAAAATAAAATCTATTTTACAATTAATTTGAACAACAAATGTTTAAATGAATTATACGGAAGCATTTAGTATGAATGACATACCANTAGAAATTATAATAAATCATAGAAAATATTTTATAAAAATAGTGCAAATTAAAAAATAAAATCTATTTTACAATTAATTTGAACAACAAATGTTTAAATGAATTATACGGAAGCATTTAGTATGAATGACATACCATATACTGTAGTGTTATTTAAAAATTCTTTACACATTTCCTGAAAATAAAAATATGCTACATATTTATTAAAAATAAAATCATATGATTTTTGGTCTATTTTTACATCCGATTAGCACATTATAATTTATTTTTAATTGGAAATTAAACAAAAGGGTTATGCTATAAATTTAAAGAGTTAATGCTTAATTGTTACTTAAATCACGAAAATGTTGACTAATTAATAAAGTATATGGTCATACAAAATTACCTATAACAAAAGTTTAAACTTAAGCCAATTGTCTCATACAAACACATATATTTGAATCCAGGTCCTCAACCAAACCCTTCCAATACTTAAACCAAACTTTAACTACGATGTGAACCGCATATCCATGACATGGATCGGTCACTCGACTTCTGTCATCAACATGGATGGCGTAACCATATTAACGGATCCAATATTTAGTACGAGAGCATCGATGAGTCAATTTGTAGGTCCGGCCCGATATAGGAAGGCAGCCGCCACTGTCGATGAATTGCCACAAATCGATGCGGTGGTCATCAGTCACAACCATTACGATCACCTCGACTTAGGAAGTGTGGAGGCATTGAACGCCCGCTTCGGGTCAGACCTGTATTGGTTGGTTCCGTCAGGTCTTAAGGAGTGGATGAAGGAAGTGGGTGTCACTCAGAATGTAATAGAGCTGGAGTGGTGGCAGTCCACTTGCATTCCCAATCACCCCGACATCCAATTCACTCTAACACCGGCCCAACACTGGACTCGAAGGGGTCTGACCGATGAGCGCAAGGTTCTGTGGGGCAGTTGGACTGTCATCGGACCTAAACATAGATTTTTCTTCGCTGGCGATACCGGTTATTGTCCTGTATTTAAACAAATCGGACAAATGTACGGACCCTTTGATTTATCCGCCATACCTATCGGTGCATATGAGCCCCGGTGGCTAATGGAGCCCCAACACGTCGACCCCGAACAGGCCGTCCAAATACACGAAGATATCAGGAGTAAATTAAGTGTTGGAGTGCATTGGGGAACGTTTGCATTGGCTCATGAGGTATGGCCACAATTTGCATTTATTTCTAATCAGAGAACTAATAAGTTTTATTTGAATCTAAAGTACTATTTGGAGCCACCGATGAAACTGAAGACTTCGTTAAATGAACACAATTTGAATGAAACGGAATTCATAACCATTTCTATAGGCGAAACCAAAACTATTTAAAAATTATTCAATTTAGCTAATGCTGTCAAATAGGAAAGAATTTAAACCTTTTAAAGCACGTCTAAAAAATATCATAGTTTTAAACTCAACTCATATTTTTAAAAATCAAAGTATTATATTTAATATACCGGTAGAATTCTTTAATATGCTCATGTTTTATTAATTTGTAAATTCTTATCTATTTTATACTCATACACTATAATAGACATTAAAGTTCCTGTGATTATAAAGATTGCTTTTATTGATACCAATATATTAAACGTTACAATATGTTATAATAATTGTACCGTAACTACAAATCATACAACACTCCAACACAACACTTTCACACTTATTTAGGTACTAAAGAAAATATTCAATCAAAAAAGTGACGAAACATTCGTAAAACAAACCTTAAAATAATATATAAGAAAAGAAAAACAAAAAATAAACACACATTTTGAGGCAGTGTTACACACATTTGTCGTAAAGTTATATAAAACAAGTACAGTATATATGGTTGCAAAGTATGTTAAGAATTGGTGAATCGGTTCTCCAGGTATTCGGTGAGCATTACTGACGGCTGAGAGAAATATTTGTTGCGATTGTTAACTCTGGACCAGCGCTCGCCGTTTGCATCAAAGCCTAATCAATGCATTGAATTAGAAAACCTATAAAACGCGTGATATGAACACATACTGAGACACTTGAGGTCCAGATATTGACAGCAGGCGTGGAGTAGAAGGCGTCGAAACCCCGATTTTGTTGAACCTGTGGATTGAAGGCACGACTTATAGGTGGCGAACGGCTTCTCGTTGAAGAAGGCTGTGATTTCTTCTTCAATGGTCGCCAACACTCCCTTCAATTCATAGGATTTTCTATTCAAATAATTGCTAAATCATTAGAAAGACATACGAGTGGTAAGTGCTTCTTCTTCAGCGTATTCTTCAGATCAGAATCGATTCGTTTGAAGCATTGGTCGGCAGTGAATGCAGTCTCATGTGTACGACTGTCCACTCCATCGTCAGGAGCCTTGCATTCACTTTGAGCTCTGGATCTCTTGATAGTGATTTGATCCAAGAGTTGGTTCTGTTGGTCTTCAGTGCAATTGATCACATCATTCNCCCGCGTGTTCTCAATACGACTCGACGACCAGCTATAAGCTGTCGAAGGCGGCCATCCTCTCGAGATCTATTGAACACATAAACCATATGTCGAAAGACATGTCCGCACAGGAGAAGGAACTGCAAAGACTGCGCAAAGAAGTGGTCGGCCTATCGATCATGAAAAGCAATTACGAGAAGATGGTTCAACTGCACCAACAGTCGCAGCCGGGACTCCAGACCAATCAGATCACCGATGACGTCAAGTTTGGCATCTTTGAGGCCATCTTTGACAACCTGTTCCAGTCGTTCGACAAGTCGGTCGAAGTGACAAACTTTACCCAATTGTCTGGAAGTACTTTCAATTGGTTGGAAGAACACTGCAAACCACAGACACTTCAGCAGATGGTCGTCCAGATTCTCCAGAAACAAAAACTCCTCACCAACTGATCCACTGATCCAATCGTCGATCCGCTCATCCATTGCCTCCGCACTACTTCTTTGATCACGTCTTGTGTTCAGATTTCAAATTATTTATAAAAATATACTTTTATTTTGTTAATACAATAGTTATTGATTACAATTTAAACTAATTATCGCTTTTTAAATGATATTTAACTTTAAATTTGTAGACATTATATATACAGTACAGTAGTTATCACACAAATGTGTTTCACTTCAAGCCTTTATCAACATTTAAATATATTCTTAAATATTATCAGTTATTTTTGAGATGTTTTAAGCAATATTTTATTAGCAATACTTTAATTCTAGATATTATACTATTATTCTTTTATAATACTGTTTACGGTAATAGAAAATTATGTGAATTTTATCATTAGTATAAAGTTTTTTGTTTTTGCTTTTTAAATCAGTTTAAGTTTAATTATCCAATCAGTTATGTTATAATATTGTTAATAATATGCCCGATAATAGTTTTATGAACAGTTGAAATATTTGTTAAACGATTAAGACGATTATATAAATCTTTTAATAAGAGTTATAATAAGTAAAAGTGAATAAATCTTGAATTTTCAATACAAAAAGTTTTATTATTCATAATATGAATTTCATAGTACGGATACAATACAGTATTTGAATCATGTGTTGAATAAAGTATTATTGGATTAACAACTATACGGTATTACAAAGAAAGCACTCAAAATAAATACTTTTCGTTGGTTTGACTCATACTCCAGGAATAAGTGCTAAAAATATGAAAACTTGTCTTCACTTTTGTGTTGCATTTGATGACTGAATGTTGAATTGATATTTCGAAACGACTAATGATTAGAAGATTTGGCTGACGAGTGCTGCAGAGTATAAAGAAAAGCAATTCCAGTGATTGCTTTGTCCTTCACTCTGATTATAAGGTTTGCCTCAAATGAACTGTTCATTTAATCATATAATTGATGTCTTATTAATGATACAATATTTATTCCTTTGAAAATATTTATAAATTCAATGCTAATACTGGGTTTAACCAAATGCCTAAATTATTCACATGTATTCAAGTCATTTCGGCTTCGATTATAATTCACAAAGTTTTTCAATTTGTAACTAAAAGTAAATAAAATACTCAATTCATGTCAAACCAAATGAAATTAATCTTTATATGGATTTTACTAATCATTCCCACAGAAGAACTGCTGGAATTGAGTGCAAATAACGTGAGTTTATATTAATTTGTTATTTTAATTATATATTTTTAACACATATTTCTAAATAATGGGTTTAACTCATATTGCGGAATAAAGTGATTTTTAAAAC